TGGGCATTCTTATAATTATCCACTTAACATTTTTCATTAATTAAATACCACATTCATTTTTTTAATCTTGAAACATTGATTTTTTTTCATTAATCAGCTATGTTACTCAATAGCATATAGTTATGAAGATAATTTTAATTTTCTAAAATGACAAAGCAATACAAAGTGATATGGTTTTTTGAATATTTTTGGTAATAGGGACCCAACTCAGGGCCTCCTGCCTGCTACACAAATACTACTACCTAGCTACATTCTTCACACCTAGAATATGTTATGGGTAAAACTATAAAGGTAGGTTTGAAATACTTGATGTTTTGAATTACAGCACTTACACTCTATTTAGAAATGCTTTTATCTTCTATGGTTTGGCCTTCACTGTACAAACCCAAAGATAGGGCTCTTTATCATATTTTGTGCCATGTCCACTAAAATGTACAAATGATGTTTTTCACTCACATATAATACTTTAGATAGTCAATTAGTTCATAATACCTCCCTTAGTTCCCATGTAGTGATATCAGGGTTTATTGAAAGAATATTAAAATATTACACACTGTAAGACATTATAAAAGGAAAATTATACCAAACACAACATTTTGAAACATGATTCTTAACTGCTCACCATAACAATGCTCCACATCCCTGAACATGTACAGATATTGTTCGTGTCAAAGCATGTCAGAGATATCAACTATCATTTTGGAAATCTTATCAGAGAAAACCTAAGAATAGCCTTGTAGAAATGTCCTGAATCCTCCATTTAAAGTCTTTTTTCTTGGTGCTTCATTAGCAGCTTTGGGTATTTAATAAAGTGAGTTGATTTATTCATTATTCATACACTCAAACTTATTCAATTTATAAAGTTTAAAAAATATTTATTATTATTTAGTGTGTATGCAGATATGTCACTGCACATGTGGAGGTCTTTGTGGATTTGGTTCTCTCCTTCATCCACCTTTACAGGGGCTCCTGGGGTTGAAGTCAGATCATCAGGCTTGAGCAATGCAAGTTCCTACAAATGGTGAGCCATCTCTCCATCTACCGTAAACAGTATCATGGAAACATCGAGCAAGTGAGCTGATTCAGTGGACTCAGATATATCCAGCGTAACTTAGAGTCTGGTAATAGAAAGCATTCACTCCAGTGTCTTTAAACCTGATTTCTAATCTAAAATAAAGTAGGTGTGGCATTCCTGGAGGAAGAAGGTGTCTTCTCAATAGAGAACTTTTGATTTTCTCTTACAAACTTTCAGCAGTATACCAAGATTCTTTTGTTTCCCACCTAAAGAGCACTGCAAGATTACTTTTCTTCCAGCTGAAATTATTTCAAGTTGTTTCAACTGTACTAGGATCCATCTGTAACCAAGAAGCAATTTGACACTGATGCCTCCTGGTAGAGAGAAATCAGGTTTCTTCAGCTGAGTGGCACTGGGTGTATCTACACACTCTAGGGAAGGCCCTATGTGATCATGGAGTAGTTGACCAACACAAAACTCCATTTTTTATTTAGCTTTTTTAATGTGTGCTTTTGGATTTGTTTTGCTATTTTCATTTTTGGTATCTTTTTAGTTGATGTTGTTTCTTTGTTTCGACTTTGTTTTGAAAGAGAAAGAGAGAAGTTTGGCAGATGGAAAGGGTTGAGTGATCTGTGAGGAGTAGGGAAACTGGAACATATATTATCAAATACATCAATATGAAAAAGCATACAGACAATAAAAAAAGAATAGGGGAGGGAATGACAGACATGAACATGCTAGGAAAGGGATCTTCCACTAAGCTACATCTCCAGTACTGAAATATTTCTTAACAATGAAAAACAACAGGGGGAGAATCCTGGTTCTGTGAGGAGATACACAAATGTTTGGGTAAGAAGAGATACTACCATTTCTTGCTTCATGCTTTTCCAATTATTGATTTAAGAATATTCCTTACTAAAGTTATCTTATGTGTGTACTTTATTTTTGAGTATTTAATAGATAAAAGTTTTAAAAGTATAACCCAAATTAGTATTCTTTTTAACTACATATTGATACTTAAAGATTCCTTTAAAATAAACTCATCTTTTTAGAACATCTACTTTTAACAAATAAAAATTCCTGTTTAAAAAGCTGTTATTTTTATGTTACAAATGGGAATTATGTTGATATGAAAAACAATTTGGAATAAAATAATTCAGCTTAAGTCATTTAATCATTTCCGATGCTTTCTGGGGTCTTCAAAAAGTTTGAAAGACGTAAAAGAATTATGTTTTATTAAGTTTTGTAAGTCTTTACTATGAAACGTAAATTTTCTTTTCTTTTGATTAAAGGGAAGTTATGATGACATGATTGCTTGATGTACACTCATTCATAGCAATTACATAAGAATTTGAATCTTCTATGGTTTGGGTTTGCTCATTTCTGTGAATAATATTAGGTAAGGCTGTTCTGTTATGGAGTTCAACATCACCTCTAGTTACTCTTTAATGTTTGAAGATTTCTACTGTCAAGCAAATTGTTGTGAGAGAAAGGGGAAAGAGGAGGGAGAAAGAGATGGAGGAGAAAAGAGAAAGAAACAGAATGGGCATATACAAACATGCTGTGTTTTAATATATACTGGAAGGATAAACTAGAAGTCAGTTAAAATTAACTGACTAAGAAAGGGTAGAGAACAAGCAAGGGAGTGACACATCTCTGAGAATACCAGTATATGATTCTGAACTCTGGAAGCAAGTTTGTATCATACATATTTTAATTTATGATGATCCCAACAAGAACAAAGGAAAGCATTTAATTCAGATGCAAACAGAAACAAATGAGTCCAACTATCGTTCAAATGAATAATATAACTAGACTCAACGAGGGAAAACTAAACATAAATACCAAATTCTCTTTAGCAGTGGTGTTTCAGGTATGCAATAATTGTGAAGCTATTGTATATGCACATAATTCAGCACATGAGTAGATGCAGTAACGTTAAGAATCAGGGTTCTCATTTTGACATTGGAGAAACAAGTATGCATGGGAGATGGCAATGAAGAGTTCTGTGGCTTGGATTGGAATTGAAGGTATAGTAGAGCTTATTGTTTTTACCCTCTATGTGTATGCATTTGTGTGTGTCTGTGTGTATTTTCATGTGTACATGTGCATACATGCACTTTGTCATCCCACCATTTAGGAGAAGGATGCAGAAAGACCTTAGGTTCAAAGCTACACAATGACTTGCTCAAAAAATAAATAAATTTAAAAACCTAGACAAATAAATATTTATATATTAAGTATGAATTTTATATCAAACTCTAATCTACCCACTTACATAGTATGAATTTAAAATCCCTAGGGATAAGGAAGTCATAAAAATGGTTCAGTGAGTAAAAGCAATTGTTGCACAGCCTGATCACCTGCATTCAACTCCCAAAAGGACATGCAAGGGGAGGGGAGAAGCAACTCTAGAAAAGCTGTCTTTTGACCTCCACATTTGCCACAGCACACACACTACAACAGAGATCTTGCCAGTAAGAATTATTTAAATGTTAAAAATCCAATTTATTATTTTCTGAGGAACATGGAAGATTAAACACAGAGGGGTTCATTCATTTATTTATTACATTGATTTATTTTTAACAAAAAGAAATATTTGGGACTCTGGTCTTTCCATCCATAAAATGGGCTCATGGGGTCTAGCTTGGGTGGTAAGATTTGTGATACTGCATTTACCTACAAAGTCATCCACAGGCCTAAAATTATCAACTAAATAATACATTAAAAGTTCATTTTAATATTATAGGATCACATATCCTTTATAGGATCATTAACATTTTATTCTGTTAGGTACCAAATTACTTATGTAACTTATTAAGTGATAAATAGAAGCTAGAGAATACTTTTCAAAGATGACAATCGTAATATTATTTATTTCTAACAATGTTAAACTTTTCTACTTACGTTACATAGTTTTTCAAAAATTAGTATTTTTAAGCAACATTTCAAAAAATCTAGGGTTCCTCGAGTTTCTTCAATTGTTCAAAGAAAAATTTTCTAAATCTGAAATTTCTGTGAGTAAAAAAGAAGCTGCCAGGTAAGGGGGGAAGAGGTAACCAAAATGCATTATAAACACACGTGACATTGGCAAAGAGAAAAAGTAATTTTAAAACATGAAGCTGCCTCTTGTCACTGTTTTCCTTTTGTGGAAGCAGAACAAAAGTACATTAATAGTTAACAAAGCTAAAGTATGATATATGAATGAAGTCTCTCAATTATAAAAGTACTTAGACTGTAGTTACAAAAGATCACTACCATTAATTATTCAACATTTGGACCTGACCAGAAACCAGAGCATGAGTTTATAAGGCTCTGTTTAAACGAACTACTTAATGCTACAATGAACACTTTATCCAGTCAACTCAGTGAATTGTTATAAAGGGGCCTTTCCAATTTTTAAAAATCAATGGTCAGATTTTAATGCTAAATCAGTTTAAATTTCATTAGTTCTTTAAAAACGCTTGCTCAGAACAAATTGTGCATCTCAATTATTTTATATACTAAAACCAAATATAGTTTGAACCAATGCATTATTCATAAAGAAAGACACCAGGAAAAACAAAGCTGTGCGTTTCTTTCAAAGCTGTGAAACTGCTGGAACATATACATTTATACAAGCAATATTTGATTGTGTTTTTCTTGAAACATGTGCTTGTTTGCCTCAGATCAAGATATGTCAAAAATTCTACACCTATTTTTGTTTCTAATTAAAGCAATCATCATTCCAAGGATTGTCACTATTTCATTTCATCTTTACATCAAAAAAAAAAAAAAAAAAAAAAAACCTAATTTAAAAAAACTTAATTCCCTCGAAATGGTAAGATAAATGAAAAGGTAAGTGCCTACACATAATACCAGTAGGCTGAGCCTTTGGGAACTGGTTGACTTTCACTACAAGGTATTCAAAACTCATCCAAAAGTGTTCATTTAGGATGCAGATATCAAAGAGGATGCAAATGTTCAAGAGGAACGTAGAGCTTACCAGATGTTCTAATCCAGCTTTGATGTTTCCAGATTCCCTAAAAAAAAAAAAAAAAAAAAAAAGTTCTAAATGGCTACTAAACCCTTGTCTGCTTTAATTTATGTTTACCTGAAAGTACTTTAAAACCTTAGAACTTTTCATTTATCTTTACTAAAGTCCATAATGATACTGTTTTTAAAGAAGAAAATATCCATCAACAGAATATTTTTTTCAAATTAGTATTACCTTTAAGTTTTATTTGAATAATACAAAAAATGTTTCATATTTTTCTGTCAATGAAGAAAAACAAAAAATGTCAAGTACATTATTATTTACACAAAGTTTATTGACATTAGCTATTTAAAATTATGAAAATGTTCAATGACAAAATCTATCTACCATCTAGACATATCTACAAGTATACACTTCTAAGTACACAGTTAAATAACAGAAACATTGACAAATAATTTTTGAGCATTGTTTAGTTTCATTATAAATCAAGACCTGTAATTATTACATTGAGAAAATATCAACAAAAATTGAAATATATGATACACATAATATCTTGACTATATAGGAAACTACTGATAGAACTAAAAAATATTTATGCAAGTAGCAAAGACAATTTAGATACCTGAAGAAATACAACAAATACGTGGATTTTTTAAAGGTTTACTTTTCTAAAAATATTTCTTCTATTTTTCAATTGTAATTACATAATTTTCTCCTTTCCTTCCTTCTGTCCAACCCACCTATACAAAGCTTAGTCTCTTTAAACTCACAATCTCTGTTTTCATGAATTTTTTCCATTCTTGTATGTATATGTGTATTCATTTATATAACTAAATATAACCTGATAGATCATTATTTTACTTGCATATATGTGTTTTCAGAGTTCATCATTTGGTATTTGGTAACAAATTGGTGTACCCTTCCCTGGGGAAGACTATTTCTCCTACTTCCAGCATTCCTTATTTACCTGTAGTTCTTTGTGTAGGGTTAAAGCCTCATGCCCCTGTCCCCACATTCTTTGACTTGTCTATCATTGACTTTGTGGAGCTCATGTTTAGGCATTCATGTTAGTGAGATTTTATGGGTGTAGTATCTGACATTACTAAAATATGTAGTCTCACAGCAAACTCCTTGGTCCTCTAGCTTTTACAATATCCCCATCCTTTCTTCTGCAATGTTTCCTGGGCCTTAGGTATGCACAGTTTTGCAGGAATATCTCTTGAGACTGGGTTCTACAACTCTGCATGTTGATTTCTTGCAATTTTCTGCAAAGGTGTCTGTGGTACAAAGATGCAGGGTGAGAACAGCTATCTGTGGGTAATTTAGAGTGTAGTTGGGATTGTGCTGTTTCAGTAAAGCTATGGTTTATCAGTTCTCCTCCAAGATCCATGACTTCACTAGGCCTCAGGAGCTCGCAAGGTTTCCAGTTGTAGGAATGGTATCTGTCTTGTTGTTAGGGTTAAGTACAATTAGAGAGCAGTCAGTTACCATCAAGGTTTACAGGCCACAACTGCACCCTTAGGTTTACTGTGATATGCTGGTTGTACTTGTGATTCATAGGCATCATAGCTAAGAAATACTGCTGGTTGCTTCACTCCCTCAAATGCTTGCCTGTGCCTTCTGGTGAACAGGACAGTTGAGATCCAGCTCAAATGCCTCTGGCCCTACCACTGAAGTGCATGGCAAAGGTATATATTTAAAAGTATTATGTATAGGTGTGTGACCCTGCATGACTATATGTGCACCACATGCATTCAGTATCCCATGGAGACCAAAAGAGACTGTAAGAATCTCTGGACAACAGTGTAAAAGGTGTTTGCAAGTTGCATGGGTCCTCTAAAATACCTACTAAGTGCTCCTGACTGCTGAGCCAGCCCTTGGATGAATTTCATATATATATGAATATATATACACACACATATATATATATACACACACACTTATATATACACATACACACACACATATACATATATACATTCTTATTTTACATATCGATCCCAGTTCCCTCTCCCTGCCTCCCATGTCCCCCATCTCCCCCTACCATCCCATTCCATCACCCATCCCATTCCATCACCCATCCCACAGGGAGGGTGATGCTTTCCAAGAGGGATCATCAAAATCTGTCAAGTCATAGTAGGTTCTAGGCCCGCCCCCCTGCCTCTAGGCTAAGGGAGCATCCCTCCATGGGGGATGTGCTCCCAAAGTCCTTTTGTGCACCAGGGATACATTCTGGTTCCACTCTCAGAGGTCCCTTAGACTGCTCAGGCCTTTTAAATATGACTCATGTTCAGGGGATTCAAGTCAGTATAATGCTGGTTTCCTAGCTATCAGTTGGGGGACCATGTGCTCCCCCTTGTTCAGGTCAGCTGTCTCAGTGGGTTTCTGTCTTGACCCTTTTTCTTATCACTCCTTCCTCTCTGCAACTTGATTCCAGGAGTTCAACTCAGTGGTTAGCTGTGGATGTCTGCTTCTGTTTCCATCAGCTACTAGATGAGGGGTCTATGATGGCATATAAGCTAGTTTCAATCTCATTATCAGGGAAGGACATTTAAGATAGCCTTTCTCGGGCTGGAGGGATAGCTCAGCCGTTAAAGGCTAGGCTCACAACCATAAATATAAGGTAGCCTTTCTCTTGGATGAATTTCTAAGAAGAGTGCAATCTATATCAGTTTATTAGTGACAATATGAACTTTGACTTTCCTACTCTGATCAAGCAATATTTTAGTTTTAGCATGATTACAGGTCTTACCAAATTTTTAAGTATTTGTTTTGGGTTGGAGAAGCTAAAAGTGTGTGCTACTATTGCAAGGATTCTAGTTTGGTTCCCAGCACCCATGTCAACTGGCTCACAACTGCCTGTAACTCCAACTCCAAAGGAGACAATATGATTTTCTGGTCTCCATGGGCACCTGAACTCGCATGCACATATATCACATATATACACATAATTGAAAATAAAATAAATCTAAACGTTGTACATGTGTGTGTGTGTGTGTGTGTGTGTGTGTGTGTATGAATGAATATGCACACATGACTACATAGTATAAAAGAGGATATTGGTCCCCTATAACTGGAGTATTAGGCAGTTTAAATTCTGACTTACACAGAATGCTCCTATGAAAACAAAGATTTCTTTGCATTCCAGTTCAATTAAACACATTTATTTTTATAATAATAATAATAATAATAATAATAATAATAATAATAATAATAATAAAATTTCTGCTCATATCTTGCAGTAATTTATTCTTGCCTCTTCTTAGAATTATGTTGACATTAGAGATAGAGGATGAGTGTCACTAACCCTTGATCTTTACACTGAATGTATAGTTTTGCTAAAGGTGTTAGAAACAGCATTAAGAGCTAACCTTCTTTTAGTATGTTACATTGGGGATAAGAATGGAGGTTAGAAGCAGCCTAAGGTATTAAAATCAAGACTACTTGCAAAGATAGTGTAGTAGGAAAGAGACAGGTAATTTTTTTGGAACTTGTTTTGTAGATCAGGCTGGCCTAAAACTCCCAGAGATCTCCTGCCTCTGCCTCTGGAGTGCTGGGATTAAAGATGTGATGCCACAGCTGGCTACAATATATATTTTTAACATGTGTTTTGGGTGGCATATATGACAGAAAATGAGATATTATTATTGCCACATCTCTTTGTTCACTATCAAACAAAATTTACCAGTGTCTTTGTTATCTGATATCCTTAATTATTATCACCTAATTTTCATGTACGTTTTCATGTTTCCCATGATTTGACACCATCCTCTTTCCTCAGGGAACTACTGCATGAGCTTTTCACTGGATCTCAATGGCTCCTGTCCTATTCAGGGTCAGTGTTTCTTCCATAAGAAAGTGAACTCTTACTAAGGTGTAAGTTGTTTTAACATATGTCTCATGCCAAAGCTACATAAAATGGAAAGTGACAATAATAGCCAAAGTGGAAAATTATTCACCTAATTTTCAGTCTCAAAGAGCTACCAGATCACATACACAGAAACACACATACACACTCATACATACATACATTCATACATACATACATACACAAACCTTTCTTTCAGTTTTTACCAAATCTCATTTTGCTAACAAGCAATAAAATGAAAAAAATTCAGGACTCCTAAACTATGTTTCAATGGAAGAAAACTCTCTTATCCACAATATAGAGTTCTTCTGAAATTTTGCCTGTAACAACCTGGACATGTACTATGACAGAATTTATTACAAGTCGTTACTAATGTTTATTTAGCTTCCCAACTAAAACACTATAAAGAAAACTCCTTGAAGAAAAGCATTAAATAAAAAGTAATTTATAGTCCACAACCTACTTCACAACATCTGAATCACAGCACACAACCAGTTATAAGCACCTGCCAGTTTCAGCTTAGGTTTCTGAGAAGCCTTGCTCAGTTCAATCCAATCTCAGATACTTTCTAGTATGATGATAAACACCAGGATCAAAGAAACTTGAGATGAAAGGGGTTTATTACAGCCTACAGTCCATAAGCCAGGACAGGAACTGAAGGCAAGAACCTATTGTCAAGAACTGAAGCAGAGACCATGGAAGGGTGCATTTTACCAGCTTGTTCCCCAAGCCTTCTATGCCTGCTTTCTTATATAAACAGAGCCACTTACCCAAGGCTGGCAACATCAACAATAGCCTGAGCTCTCCTACATCAATCACTAATTAAGGAAATGCACCCCAACACTGACCCACAATTGGGGGTGGGAGGACAGTTTTTCAATCAGGGTTTCTTTCCTCTTACGTCAACCATATCCCTAACCCTAACCTGCCAACACATACCTTATCACCAAGCCACAAAAAGAGCGAGGAGTTTCAACCTATGATGGGTCACCTTGGATAGAAAGTAACATGAACAGATGGGGATGGGAAAGGGTCTGTGTGCATATGTGAACACATGATGAGTGAGTGGTTGCTTTGCTTTGTTTTAAATAGTGTCTTTGAAGGAGATGGAAATGTTTAAAGCTGAACTAGAGCAGTAGAGTCTTACCACATCAGCTCTCAAATTAACCTCGAATAAA